TATTAGTTTCAGAATTACTTTAACTGGTTCCCTATTTCGTATAAATAGCCTAGTGTGCGTAGTTAGTTAATAAAATGATTATCAAATTTTATAAGTTTTGCGTTACTGCTATTAAAAATTTAAAGGCGCTTTCATATCTTTTAGTACTTGATGGACAAAGGACAATTTTTAATTATTTATAGGATAGGGTGACACAAACGAGCACACAGTCCACTTGATGGTAAGTGGTTGCTGTGGCCCATAGACATCTATCCTCGATTACAAATCAAAATGCAGATGCGTTGTCACCCGTAAGGACTAAGATGGAATGCCTCGTTTCCAGTAAAAAGGGTCTCCGGTTCTTTACACTCACCATACAAAACACAGCAGCATTAAGCTACTATTTTGCGCTGGTATTCTGTGAGAGCGTGGTCCTTCCTCGGTCGAGTCGACCCATTCGTGCTACAACTATGCTACTAATATAACTGTAGCATGGCTCTACCACGTGTAAATGTAACATACAGCCTATATATTGATTTTATACTTTGTGTTATCGATTTATTTTAGTAAACATTATTATTTTTTCTTCCTGTGGGTGACACTACCTGTTAAAATAATAGAGTGCTAAATTTAAAACACATAAATAAAATATTGTAAAAGACATGACTACAGTTTATTTTATTCACCAAAATTAAATGAAACTCATGAAACGTGCACTTTTGGATTTTCCAAATATTTTTATAAATCCCCCCCCCCCTCCCCAATCCCCCAAGTGGGTGAAATTTTATTAACATATTAACGTAGGTATAACAAACGAAGATTATAATTTGTTAAAAGAAATAATAGTGTTGAAAAAACTTTTCATGATTTTTTAAAATTAATCAATAGTATTCCAAACTTGGGTAATCGAATTTCGAACAAAAAAGAATGAATTGACATGAAATTAAGTTAAACAAGCGAGATTAAAGCGATTGTTAATTAGGAAATTATATTTTTTCTAAATCGTGACACCTGACACCAGATATAGGTAACAGCTGCAAGACCTTTCCAGTCCTGATGGAACCATTTTAGTTCTTAGAGGGGCTATATATCTGTATTACTTACTGTCAGGTGTCACAATTTAAAAAAAAAATAATTTCTTTATTTTTTACACGCGCTTTAATCTCGTTTTATTTTTATTCTTTTTTGTTTGAAGATCGATAACCCAACTTTGGAATACTATAGATTAATTTAAAAAATCTTGAAAAGATTCTTCAACCCTATTCTTTGTTTTAAAAAAGAATAATGTTGTTTGCTGTACATACGTAATATGTTAATAAAATTTCATCCACCGTTTTTGAAGCGAATGTTTCACTCAAGATACCTTCTTGTACTTATATACTCAAGGTAAATCGTAATTGGTCTCGTTACACAAACACTTGATGCAGTACATAAAACTGGTTACTGTAGGAGTCTAGAAAATTATCAACTTGGATTCGTACTAGTTATAGACTATTAAAAATAGGAGACTGAACCGTGAAGTTGCATATACGTTACGTATAATTAGATATTTATTTAATTTTTTACCTACTTAACCTATATATCAGTAACAAAAAATATTTAGAATTTAACAATAATAACGAACAAATATTTATACGTGATATAGCCACGTTGCAGATATATTATGGTTGTAGCATGAATGGGTCGGCTCGACCCAGAGAAGTAACACGCTCTCACACAATATAAGCGTGGAGTAGCATCCTAAGGCTGCAGTGTTTTTCGTATGGTGAATATAGAGAACTGGGAACCCTTTTTACTGGAAACAAAGCATTCCATCTAATGCTCGGGGGTGAGCACTAGGTGGAATGCTTTCATTAGTTTAATTAAAATTTTCGTATTTTCAAAAAATTCTAAAAAAGGGCCAGAAATAAAAGATTTTCTCACAAAAGAAGGGAACTTGAAAAAAAAAGGAAAAAAAATCGGACCGAAGACAGGACGCGAACCTAGGCATTACGATTTCACGACCGCTCGCTATCCACTTGAGTTATTACGATCATTAACACAATGTAAAAATTTACCTTCTTATATTGTAGCAGTTTTTCATTGTCTGAAAACACGGACAAAAAGACGTTTTCTAAAAATAATTCCTGGCTAGATCGATTTATTACCCCCGAAATTCCCTAGACACGCTCGATGACTTAATTTATTTTCTTGTAATTCATGATATTTTTTAAATAAGCAAGATCGATCGAGCTATTTTGTATGTTAACTTAAAAATTTCGTGTTTCTATTCTTAAGTTCTTAAATGTAATTTATGTTAATCCTATTAACTTAGTAGGCTAAAAAAATTACATTACCAAAAATTGTCTTGGGGTCCCCATTACAGGAGGTAAATTGCAAACGTTGTGATCCTGCAAAGATCCTTGAGAGGACTGCGGAACTTTCTAAAAAATTTTAGTGGAAGTTGGGAGGAATTTGTTAACTTTCTCTTCTTCTCCTGACTCGACTTTATATTCAGTTAAAGCAAATATTTTACCAAATATTACACCGTCATAAGAATATCTACCGCCCCATAATATAGTCTCGTGGTCATAAGAGGCGAGAATGGGAAATTAAAACTGAAAATGAGCAGCATCAACTTACTTATAACAACTCGGAATTAAAAAAAAATTGCGGTTGCCAAGCGTGGCAAAATAGCCTCTATGAAGCAATCTATGGAAGAGGCTTGTGTTCAACAGTGACGTAATTAAAAAAGCAGACTGTAATATGCTGTAATGGAATGGATGAAATGTTAATCATATTTGTATGTTTAAAATTTTAGTACTAAAATAAAGTGGCTGTTAGTTAGCCTTCGCCGATATTAGGGTTTGGGAATTGCCGACAATTTTTATGTCCCGGGACACGAGACAGTCTACTATCAAAGTCCCGGGAATTCCCAGGACTTCGACTTTTAAGAAAAAAAAAAATTAAGAGTAGCGAGTTTTTCTTTTACGAATTTTAATTCAGTAAATTTCTGGTGAAACTTATTGAAAAAGGCAATGTTTTGGCAATTTGTTGCATTTATTAATGTTATTAAGAAAAATATAATTTATCTCAATAACTGTAACGTTATTTCAGTCTTAATAATTGCATTGTTCGTTTCTTTTAATTAGACAGATTCACTTTTAAGCAGTTAAATCTTATAGTTTTAAAATGAACCTAGTTAAAAATCATACTAATTTTTAATAACTTTACTATTATCCAGTAATTCAAGAATCTAATCATTGGTCATTATAACAACATTGTTAATTCAGATTTGTTTCGTAATTAAATATAATCTAAATAAAAATAATAAAACAGACTTATAAATCAGACTTTCAAATAATCAACTAACACATTAATTAGACTTCTTTGCTTGTTTAATAAAATATGCATTTAAAAAAATCAGAGCGTCAACAGCTTTGTTCGACAATTTGTTTCTGATTTTTGTAATTATGGCTGGACATGGAGAACTCATTTTCAACAGATGTCGGTTTGATTGTGTTTAAGGCTTTATACAGTAGTTCCAAATTTTCTGTACGTTTTCCGGTTGCTTCAAACAACTGAAACTCCTTTTGTAATTTAACTAATGGCGCTAGGCTCCTTCGATTATTTGAAAATAAAAATGATGATAACATAACATTTTCGACAATCTTTTCTCGTCTCGAGTCTCGACCTGAAAGTCCCGTGACTCGAGACAACTAAAATTACCCAAACCCTAGCCGGTATGCTCATATTTTATCTATTCCTCAACGTATGTTATTTTATCCCTCAATTCCCAAACGTTGTAAATGTTTTCCTTTGTGATTCTCATTCTCGTGCTTTGAGATGATCGGAACATTTAGAAATGGCTGCACATAAAAGTAATTTTTGGATCCGAAGTTATTTGTTGTTTTTGAACACAGTTTGCTGTGCGAATGTGAAATGCTCTACCTTTATCACGACGCTCTGATTCCTTACCATAATTTAAAGAAACATAAAGAATTCCAATCTTTCTCAATTTCTTGATTCATTTATTACTTATTTAATTAACATTATTTTATTATATGTGGTTATTTTCTTATTTGTTTATTTATGTTTTTTTTTTAAATTTATATTTATAAAAATTACAATTATTATATTTGTAAACTGAATGCGTTTACCGATCAACATAGATTTCTGTCCTTTCACAATCTTGGCCATCCAAAGGTTGTACATATTTAGGAAGAAATTGCTTTTAGGGATGACAATTAAAAAAAATGTTTATTTTATTATTTCTAAAATTTGGCCTATACATAAAATTGTGGGTTGAGTAATAAATAATTTTATAATAGAAAATTATCTATTACCCATATTTATACATATATTTAAAAAGGCAAACAAATAAGCAGTTTTTACGTCTTATTTATTGTAACGTGGTAGAGTCACGCTGCAGCTATATTATGGTTGTATTACGAATGGGTCGGCTTGACCGGGGAAGGACCACGCTCTCACAGAATACCAACGTAAAATAACAGCTAAATACTGCTTGCTGTGTTTTGTATGGTGAGCGCCCGGAGACCCTTTTCTTTCTGGAAACGAGGCATTACATCTTAGTACTCAGGGGTGACAACGCATTTGCGTTTTGATTCATAATCGATAATAAATGTAGATGTCTATGGGCCACAGCATCCACTTACCATCAGGTGGACTGTGTGCTCGTTTGTCACCCTTGTTCTATAAAAAAAATCTGATGTAAGTGTTTGAGTTTTTAAGTTTTTTTTTATATATTCAACTATAATTAATTATTCAGATAATATCTTCACTTTTTATCCACTGTTAGACTAACAGACTTTTACAAAAAGAGCCTGCAAACACACACTTTCAATGACACATAAACATCCACATTTATGAATCAAAATACAGATGCGTTAGCACCTCTAAGAACTTAGATGGAATGCCTCGTTTCCAGTAAAAAGATGTTTCTCAGGTCTTACTGGACTCGCTTATAAAATGAACATATATAAATAGAAAATTATTTAAACCGATACTTTCATTGATTTCAGCTCTTGTGCATAACGGCAGCGGTAACGCCGGTTCCAACACCAGGACGGACACCAAAAGTATATAATGCTCTCATCACCTCTAATCAAAATTTAGAGCCCAGTAAAGCTTTCCCAGTATACCAACCAGTGATACATGATGCAGCGTTTACCTTCCCGCTACAATCGCCTTTCTTCTACGGAGGTGAATTACCTATAGGCAATGTAAGTACCTCTTCTTTATTTCAATCGCAAGATTTATTCATAGAATAAAATACAACGTAAAAAAATTTGAAACTACAATTTTATTAATGAAATCGTTAAATTGTTTCACTTTTATATTCAGTTATGAACCTCTAGAGGTTCATAACTGAATATAAAAGTGAAACAACTAGTCTGTCAATTTTTTCTTTTGTGGGCGGCAAGTTATTGTAGCGCTCCCGCCGCGGGCATTGATTTGTTTTTAATTTAAATACTGTTTTTCCGGTGACATAGCCTAATTATGACTAATCATATTTACGGAATGGCTTGTTGATAGACATAGCCAGGTAACAAAATAACTTTAATCTGTTTATTATTTACTGTATTTTATTCACTGAAAAGGAGATGTTCCATAAATGTATGGAGCCTGGGCCAGCACTATGTACACTATATGTGAATATTGCTGTATAATATAGTAACCGTTTTTTATTGTTAGTTTTCTTTAATTTCACTGCGTTTCATTGTACATTCAAATTAACTTGGTCAAGGAGAGCAACACAACATAAAATTAAACATGGTGGATCCAGGTGGATCGGAACAGCAGTACGCGAAAAATGTCATATTGACAGTGACATTTGATTGACGTGTATAGTAATTCGTAATATCTGCAATAAAAAAAAACAACACGAATTTCAAAAATCTGGGATTTCGATAAAATAAGACTACAGGATATTCTTCTCGATTGCGGCACCACATTTTATATCACCTATTCGAGTAGTTACAGATTGGTTATATCGGTGTCAAGAGGAGCAAGAAACGAAACAAAGGCTTGAACGTTATTTTATTTACAACACTTTCCTGCTGCTTCGTTTAGTTTTTTACTTTAGTGCCTATAAATATACTCTGTACTTCAATAATTCATAGGAGAGCAGTTAGCTGTACAGTACCTGATGACTGCAAGTTATAGTTAAAGTAGATAACTATACCTATTACACAGTAACAGATGGGAAGAAATCAACTATTCTTATCCAATTAGGTAGCAGCAGCATAATCAGCCTATAATGTTTCTACCGCTGAGACATATAACTACTTTCTGTGAGAGTGGACTGTAATCCAACATGCGGGCCCAGTGCCCAATTAAACACTAACAATTTTTCAAACAAGTTCTATGTTATATGATTCCTAGTATTAGAGACATTAATAGCATGAGAAATAAGTCATGAGGTATACAAATAAAACAACTTGTTGAGACTTTTAATTTTATTAATTTTCTACATCATCCATTATTAATATTCCATCCAGGAATGACGCCGGTGCTTCTATGCTCTCTTGGTACCGAGCCCAACCCAAATACCACACAATGGTCATAATGTGAGCACAGCAACCCACTGTTCGTTGTCCGGAGATACAACTACAATAATAGCTAATTATTTTATCATCCCAACTTGATCCTTCCTTTGACAGCAAAATATATGTATAATATGTTCGTCCTGAGCTATGTCGAGATTTTATACGGCCTCTGATTAAAAGAGGATCAAGTTGGGATGGGGTTGCTTCTGCTACTACTTCCAGTTGGTCAGATACTTCTACCTGAAATGATCCATGCTGCCTAATATGTTCCCCGAAATAGCTTCTAGCCTGTTTTATTTGATAGGTACCCAGCCCAAAAAGTATCAAGTCAGACATAGTCATTTCAGGGAAAATACTTAACTCTGGAAGTTGACCATCAATTCTTGTGAATTGGGCTCTAAAGCGGTTGATCCGGTTAGCAATTATAAGTTCTGCTAACCGGTTGGGCATATTTTTTCTCTGTATTGCTCGAGTAAGTATAGCATCAGCATCTGGTCTATTTTCAATCACTGGATGGAATGCATTAATTATAGCTGCACAAATACGAACATCGTCCATCAAATGGGTGGCAGCCAAATTAAAATATTCGTGTCTCAATAGCTTAAAGTCTCTTTTAAATCGGCCATTAACTACTTCTACCACCCATCTGCATAGTGTCACACATCTTGTCTTGTTTGCACTGATGGTTGATAACTGAGTCTCTCCTTGTTCTAATGACTCCGGTTTAAATACTTTGAAGCCCAACCCCTCTAGCATTGGAATGGAATCACGAAAGCCTCGATCCAAAATGAAAACATCATTGGGCTGAAAAAAAGCCCTTAGACCCTCATTTTCATTTTGGAACAAAGCTTTCATGATGTCAGCATCTGATTTGGTTGCTGGATAGGGCCCCAAAATATCAATAATATAACCATCAGTGGCAACAATGAGAAAAGGTTTAACAAGGTTTCTATATTTGTGCAAGCTATAAGTTTTTTTTTGGAACATATAGTTGGATGATTTTTGAAGGTATATATAGGTACCATCAAATATTATTATTGGTACTCTTGCCTCTCTGTTTCCAAACAAACCCTCGGGTATTAATAAATTCCTATTTATTAAATCATTTCTTGTATGATTGATTCCTAAGTGGAGAGGCACAAATAACCTTAGCAATGCCTCTTTAGCTACTCTAAGCAATCGTGTTATTGAGGACTTGGTCAGATGAAACAGAGAGGCAATCCTTTCATGGGAGTCCCCTGTACGAGCTTTCACCAAATAGATTCCCAAAGCAATTTTTTGGTTTTTGCAAGTCAATGCTGGGCTTATTACATTTAAAATATTTATAAAATTGTCTTTTGTAATTCCAGTCCAGAACTTAAAGAGTCCCTCATCAATACTACTCATATTATTAAAATCTAGTTGATTTATTTCATTGTCCTGGATACTCAGCTTCAGCATTGACTCTATTTCATTTTTTGTAAATGTATTTGAGAACTGATGCTGGTCCAGAAACTCCCAGTTGTATAAACATTTATGTTCATTACATACTCTTGCATTTTCTGTCACAAATATTTTTTCCGATTTTAATATAATTCTTCTTAAGTATTCCGGCACTCTATTTCGTTCTACATTGTTACAGGCCGGCACAAAACAATGAGTACTTGTCTGTGTTGTGTGTGTAAAACCATCAAGTGTTATTGATGCACTTGGTGGCTGGATATCAAATTGCACAACTTCTTGCTCCATTTCTATATTTTCGTGTGCACGTGTCCAGCAGTTGGAACAAAGTAGCGCATGTTCTGGTAACTGAAACAATACAAGAAACAATTTACTTACAGGAGCAACAGAAAGGGTTACTTACAGTTAAATGCAAAGTTACATTACTTGTGTATGGTGGTTTAGTAAATTAAAATAATTTTACCTCATTGGGGTAAATTCTTGCTGCAACTTCATCTCTCACAGGACCACTAGCCACATGTGTTCGCCTTCGGTGTAGCGACATTCTACACCATGCACACATAGAGTCTTGGTGAAGATTAGATGGGCCTTGCCGGTTATCCTCAACCCTTGTAGCATGCTCCACATTTCTACGTGCTGCTACCCAACAAGCATAGCAAACCAGTCCTCCTGGTGGAATCTGAATTAAACAAAAGAAAACAATATGTATTGACTATTAACCCAATTATTTAATTCCAACAGTAGGTAATTAAGTAAGTTGTTAATGTTACCTCTCTTGGATATATCGTTTGTGTTATTATGGTCCGTTCAGGTCCTTCAGGTATGGAGTGGCTGCGTGTTTGGGCAAGAGACCGTCGGCACCATACACATGCATTCATATTCATAACAGCAGGAGCTGCTATGATTCCTTGTTGTTGTATTGTACGCCGAGTATGTACCCAACAAGCAAAACATATTAAACCACCCTCGGGTATCTAAAACAAAAAATATGAAATTAATATTTATTAATTTAAATCAAAACATTTCTAAATAATTTAAATCACAACATTTCTAAATCATTTTAATAAATCAAGATTTAGTTATTTTAACATCACCTTCACAGACTCAACCAAGGTGATGTTATAAGTTACATATCTACACACATTTCCAAAAATTAAATTGTGACTGTTCTGTTTCTTCCTGCAATAATATTGTCTTAGACCATAATTAAGGAACATCTGCATTTGACTGCCTGTATGAATAAAAAGAAAACAAAAGAGGTGCTTACCTCTCTTGGAGCAATTGTTTCAGCAATATATTGCCTTTCGGCACCCTCGGGAATAGAGTGTGCACGCCTCTTAAACAAAGATGTCCTACACCTAACACAAACATTGCTATCATGGCAATGTTGGAGTTCGTGATCTCCATGTGCCAGACCATTAGATACCTCTTGCATTATGATGCCAAAGCATTGTGAGCACATCACTTCATTTCCATCAACCTAAAACAAAACAAAACAAAAAAAGAGGTTATACAGTGTTTAAAAATATGTTACAGTAAATAGATAAATAAAATGTTTTTTACCAGATGGCCAAGATACCGCTCGATGACCGAAATTATTTCAGGACCCATATCATCGGTAGCATAATATTGTTCATTTTCATCTATTACAGAAGTGCACTGGAGGCATGCCATTGTCAATAAACTGAAATAAGTATGAGTTAAAATCTATTAGAATATGGAACAAAGGAAGAAATCATCACATAGAAATAGCATTTGAACAAAACAAGTAAATGCACGGGTAGCGGACATACCTGAAACTGAACTTGTTATTGTAAAATAACACGACGGAATCCAAATCACAGGCGAATCAGAAACCATATAACAAAGCCGGGGTCAACAGAGAAGCAATCAAATCAATGTCCGTAATAGTAAACTGGGTCGTAAAACAAAAACAATCACTAAAAACTCCGAAACACATCCAATTCAAACCCAAAGCAAAGCAATACTCAAAGACGTCACTTCTTAAAACTGTCAAAGTCGTCAAACGTCATAAAACACAACTGTCATGGCTGCCCTCGAAATAGGGTTATCCTATAAAAAAACTTTTCAAATGATCATTTTGTACGCCTGTACCCTTCTTCAAATTAATTTGTAAGTATTTTTATGAAATTACTCAATTTTTTTCCTATTTATCTATGTAGTGTACATAGTGGTAGCCCAAAATCAAACATCTCCTTTGAAAATATTGTTAG